TACACTATAAAGACATATATATTTGAGCACAAATGCAAGAGATATTGAACGTCTCAAAGTGACAGACAGTATTCCAGGGCCTGGAAATGCAAGAGTGAGTAAGATTTCCCAAGTGAAGCTTATATTCTAGCTCAGAAAACAGGTGCAATACAAGCAACACAAAATAATTCAACTTTGTAAATACCCACACAGAGAAAACTACAACTGGAAACATGAAAGGCAAGTTCCTTATCGCTGAAAATCCTTCTCTGGTCAAAAACCAGTCAAGGAAACGGGAATGTCTTGCGCTCCTTGCACCTCCCATGCTGAGCCCCCCCTTGCTAGGAGATGACTGGGGCTGAAGGAACAGGAGCAGGTGGCAGTGCCGAGCCAGGGAAGGACGCACGTTGGTACCAGCTAAGCGGAGTCAGAAGCCCCATCCGATGCGTATGTGCATTAAAGAGGAGAGAGTACAAGGAAAGACCCTGGGAACTAGAGTATGGATTTCCATTTAGAGGACCAGCCCCACCACTTACTAGCTCTGTGACACTGAGAAGATAAACCCCACCCCTGAGCCTTTTTACTTGTAAGATGGCGATTACAATAGCGCTATCCTTAGGTGTATAGTGATGATTAAATGAGATGATGCTTTACTTAGTAAAGCAACTGCAAGTGCCAGGGGGACAAAAATATGAGTCATTTTTNAAAAAAAAAAAAAAAAAAAAAAAAAAAAAAAGCAATGGAAGGAAATATTTTTCACAAAGGTTAATTTCTTTTCCTACAGAGTAAGATGGTCATAAGGCCTAAGAAGGTAGACAAAAAATATTTTAACCTATCATTAATTCCATGTGAATCCATTTAAAAAACCCAAGTTTTGCCCCATTAAAAATAACCAAAGGCATAGAACACAACCTCGTCTAGAGGAAAATGAAATAACCTCAATGTCCAAGCATAAAATGACTGCTCTCACTTATTTAACCTATCATGTAGTCATTTAGCAGGGTCAGGAAGGTAAGGGAGTAACAATGGACCAGGCACCGGGATGAAGCAGGTTGTATATATTTATCCTGTGAATTCTCCTGTTTCACAGCCCAGGAGCCTGAGGCTCAGGTGAGGTGAGTGATTTGCCCAAGACCCACAGCTAATGAAGAGCAGACACGCTGGGGAGCAAACATTCCCCACCGCACTGCCCCCCGCCCCCAGCAAGTCTTGGTCTCTGCTTAACTGCACTCGTCAAATACAAATTTCATCATTTCTCAAGTGTATCATTAGAACGACGTCCTTCTTGGGCTTCCTGTGTCTCTTCTGCTCCTTTTCAAACTGCTCTCCACTTCACAACGCTCTGAGTTTTTTATCAAACACAAATCTGATCATGCCACATTTCTGCGTAACGTTGTCTGAGTGGATCCCTCCCACTTTCCAGATCACGTCAAAACCCTTCAGGTGGCACACAAGACCTTCCATGATCCCCGTCCCCATGACCCGAGCACTCCTCTTGTGTTCTCTGTCCTGTCTTTTACTGCTCTCCCCTTGCACGGCAAGTGCCAGCACGACAGAGCGACCTGCCATGCCCCGCGTCTACCAAGGTCCTTACTGTCATGCTCATGTAACACCCCTCTTCCATTGGCTTGTCCCTACTCCTCTTTCTTAGGGCTGGAAACCGAGTTGAGCCACAACTTCCTCGGGAAAGAGTTCACTGAACTTGCCAGACCAGGAACGCTCTCTTTTGTGCAATCATTACACCCTGAAAATAACCTAAACATTGATCATTTCTTTGTCTGTCCCTCTCATGAGATCAGATTCCAAAACTCTAAGATCACGGCATTCTTAATGTCTTAACAATTTTTTCACAGTCCCTAAGCCGAAAGAAATACCTAACGGTAATTAACTCCAAACAACTTAATAAATATTTATGCTCTAACAACTTAATAGCCATCTGAAAAATAATGTATGTAAATTAAAATTAAAACTACCTTACTTCATTCTTAAATGTAAGTCTGTGGGCACCGTAAATGTCTCAAACCTTGGAATCAGATCAGGCAATGACACCCTCATTTCCTATTCCGCACCCATTTTTGTGTGGTGGTTGCTTTTTACCACAGCAACTACTGAAAACCCAGCTTCACAAAAAAAATGATGTCATCAAAAGGAATGCAGTGCAACCTAATGTTTAAACTGTGCACTATCTCAAGCCGGAAGTTTGTCTGGTGTCCAACAGACGAGTTTACCATGTTTTCTTTGAAGTTTAAAAATACCTCACGGTAGCCCTCTGGGCTCACTGTGGTGCCCCGAGGTGCCCTGGCACACAGCTTGGGAACCACTGCTCTGAGCGGACTGAAGCTGCCAGTCCCCGGTACTGACAGGCACTTAATATTGTTAAAGGAATACAAGAAAGAATAAAGTTGCAACTCTTTAGCATGCTATTTACCAGGCAGCTAGAAAACAGACAGAACTGAGAAGAGGGAACTTTGATTATTCTATCAGAGGAAATTTGAAAATAAACTAAGAGGAAGAATTCTGTTGGCGAAGACCAGTCTATTCTCCTCTGTGCTTTCAGGGAGATGCTGAGGTGCAGCTCACACCTTCTCTTCCCTGGCATTCACTAAAGGCAGCTGTCGACTTACGAAGCTTGTCCGATTGGGGTATGAAAGCGAAGAGACCAAAAACAGGACGCCTGTTCAAAGGCTGTACATCCAATTGGAAAGCAGCAGGAGTATGGCTTCCAAGAAACAGAAAAGGCCAGAGGGCTTTGATGCCAAGGTGCCCATTGTTCCAAAGGGTTTGGTATTTAGATAAAAAATTAACCGTAAGAATTTTTTTATTAACTGTCTACTTTGTGCTAGTCATCAAGCCAGATGACAATAAAATGGTGAGTGCACAGTACACGTGGCCTGATCGTGACAATTTGATGGTACCAAGACGGTGGGAGGTGAAGGGGCCGTGGAACTGCTGAGTTCTGGGACTTGGGAGATGAGAGACGGCTGCGTGGAGCAGGGGGCACCTAAGCCGAGGCCCCCAGTGGGAACAGGAGCGAGCTAACAAGCATGAAGCCAGCGGAGGGATCCGTGTTTATTCGCCAAGGATTCAGAGGAAAGGACGGGATGGCATGGGGGCTGTACGTTAAATGGAAACAATGAATTTTCTAATACTGAGTATTAGATAACAGAATCATTGTTACTGAAGGAAATCATGACACCACTAATGTTACAATGTTTAAAAAGTACAATGGCAAACAGAATTACTTAATTATGGCCATAAGGAATTAATCAATACAACAGTCCCAATTCTTTAAGTTCCGTAATTCTAAGATGCCAGGAGGATGCTAAGAGTCAGTAAGATCATCAACCACATTTGTATCCTTTTAAGGAAAACTAAAAAAATAATAATTTCACAATCATGCGTAAGGGAATCCAAAATGAATGTTTTATTTGAAAAAAAAAATATATATATATATAAAAAGCTGGAAATTAGGGTGAGCCTGAGAAGGAACATTCAGCTTACTCTTTACTGCAGTTTTTCAAGGCATATGCGTCGCACGGTGGCTGGTCACACACAGAACACTGATTTAAACTGTAACCTTACGGCATTCTATCCCTTTGTTATGAAACAGTTTAATAAGAAACCAAAATAAATGAGGCTTCATTCAAAACCCTTTTATACTAAAAAAAGAAGTTTCTTCCATGTAGCTACAATTGCACCTCATTTAGTGACCATAAGCGTTTAAAGCAAATTATCTGCCTTTATTTTATATGACAGGAAAGAGACATCTCTGAAGTTAAGTAGAAGAAAAGAATTCCCCCTTTTGTCTTTTTGGAGAGAAAATTAATAACATTTACAAAAATACTCTTAAGAAAAAAACACTGGTTCCTTAAAGACATGTATTGTGCTTATGGTGGGATAAAATAATATTATAAATAAAAATGCTGCTGGAAATAAAATAGTTAATGTGTTAAACTTTGATAGTAATTATCTCTGGGTGGCAGGGCTATAAGATTTTTATTTTATTTTTCATATATTTTTGTATTTTTAAATTTTCTAGAAGCAGTTTTTGCTACCTTTGTATCAGAAAAAGTTTTTCAAAACACAATTAGCTTCTTAAGGGGTAGTCCCATGCTTCTAGCTTTCACTCCTTAGTTTTGACAAGATCATAATTTTCTTAATGACAAAACAAAGATTTCAACTGTCAAGTAAGCAGATGAATTTTCCTCAAGGGAAAAGTAAGCTATCACAGATCACATGGTCTTGGTGAGTCAGAGAATAATCCTTTGAAAATTAGGGTCTGTTTTAAATCTCCAGTGCTTTGAGGTTTAATCAGGATGCTGAATCTTTAAGAACGTCTAAAAACTGTCATTAATGGTCTGTAGAAGGGATGGAATAAAGCGCGCTGGCGATCTCCCTCTGTTTGATCTTGACTGACAGGCTTACCCTGGAGGCCTGCTCTGATGCACCCTCAACAGAGCAGGCAAAACAGGACGAGGGCAATTATATAACATCATGGCTACCGGGGCTGGTGTGTTTGCAGGTTGCTTAAGGGAGCTGGGCTAACTCCTCAGCATCCTCCAGGTGCCCTGGGCCAAAACAGAAGGTGGGTAAAAGCTAACAGGGACCTGTCAGCTGGCTTTCCCCGGAGCCCTGGTGGGACGAGCAGGCAGGCAGGTGGAACATCTATCCAGGAACAATCAGAGGCGGGAGAAAGGCGGTTTGCATGCCTGATGCTTTCCATACACTCACACACGCCTTGGCGCATTTATTCCTCACACAGTAGGCACACTCTAAAGGAAGGGAGGCCCATGAAGGTGAGTGACGGGGCTGAATTCACACTCTGAGTGAAAGGCTCTAACCCCGATCGGAAGGGTTCTTCCCTCTGGGTAGGGGACTAGCAGTAGTCCATGAGACCACACCCCAAACAATAAAACATGAAATTAAGTAAACATACTACTGTATCGTATACGTTTTCTTATTTGTTCAGGATATTCACCCCCATTTTCAAATGGTAAATAGGTAAAGGGTTAAAGTCTTACATAAAATTCTTCGGACGCTTCCGGAGGGTCTGGAAGGAGAGAAGCCTTTGGTGGCAGTTTGAGTTCATAGGTCATGATACTCCACCTGAAGAGAGAAAAGTCTTTGGTCTAAAATTCCTTTAAAAATTGATAAACTGACTCTATTCTCTTCTCATAATACATACATACACACATATATTTATGAATTATGGTTTACTGTATCTAAAACAACCAAATGGGAAAAGAGGTGAAATTCTGGTAATCTCATAAAATGCTGTGAGTTCATATGTTATGATTTCCATAGCTTATCAATTCTCTGACTAGTGACTTCCAAACTTTTTAAGGCCCTGACCCACAATAAGAAATGCACATATCTAACCACGCTTCCCAGAATGTGCAGTACATTCTGACTTCTATTTTTTTGTTTCACTTTTTAAGTAATGCTCACTGCAATTTACTAACTAGATTATACAAGTTATTAATGGGTCACCACCCAAAGTTCTAATACAACGTTGTAGATTAAATAAATGCACACTGCCTACAAGAAAATAAATCATTCTCCATGTCACAACCAGTCTTGCCAAGTCAGCTTAGACATACATGAAATTAAAATCAGCTAAATATCCCTCCTTATGTTAAGAAACAAAGAAAGTAAGCATTGAGAGGAAAGCATTAACAGAAATAATATGTAATTAAAGCAAATTTATCTCAATTAGCTATAAATATTAATTTTAAACCAAACACTGAATCATTTGGTGTCAAGAGACAAGCAATCAACTCCAGGTAAATCCAGTCTTTTATCTAAAATAATAATTTCAAAATCTGGAAAGAACAATTTGGTAGGGACATTAATGTCAGGAACAGGATGTGAAATAAAGATTTTACAAAGACACAAGCATAAAAAAAGCAGTACTGGAACACATGAATTTTAAGAAAAGCATGTCACAGCTGAAGTCAGTGACAGAATCTATAGGAAAATCCCCAAATTAGCATCAGTACTTAAACAAAGCCCAGTGTATCATTCAGATTTGTCTTTGCCTGAGAAATCCAAATTCCGAGAAAAACCCCTAAAAGACATAGGTTACACGTTAGGATGTACAAACTGAATACTTATAGCTGCTATCCAACTGTTGACATGAGTACACTATAAAGACATATATATTTGAGCACAAATGCAAGAGATATTGAACGTCTCAAAGTGACAGACAGTATTCCAGGGCCTGGAAATGCAAGAGTGAGTAAGATTTCCCAAGTGAAGCTTATATTCTAGCTCAGAAAACAGGTGCAATACAAGCAACACAAAATAATTCAACTTTGTAAATACCCACACAGAGAAAACTACAACTGGAAACATGAAAGGCAAGTTCCTTATCGCTGAAAATCCTTCTCTGGTCAAAAACCAGTCAAGGAAACGGGAATGTCTTGCGCTCCTTGCACCTCCCATGCTGAGCCCCCCCCTTGCTAGGAGATGACTGGGGCTGAAGGAACAGGAGCAGGTGGCAGTGCCGAGCCAGGGAAGGACGCACGTTGGTACCAGCTAAGCGGAGTCAGAAGCCCCATCCGATGCGTATGTGCATTAAAGAGGAGAGAGTACAAGGAAAGACCCTGGGAACTAGAGTATGGATTTCCATTTAGAGGACCAGCCCCACCACTTACTAGCTCTGTGACACTAAGAAGATAAACCCCACCCCTGAGCCTTTTTACTTGTAAGATGGCGATTACAATAGCGCTATCCTTAGGTGTATAGTGATGATTAAATGAGATGATGCTTTACTTAGTAAAGCAACTGCAAGTGCCAGGCGGACAAAAATATGAGTCATTTTTTTCCCCTGCTCTTTACAAACGGTGTTCTTCAATTAGTAAAGAAAACACAGGAACAACATATTCTTATGTTTCTATAATGGTCTTTTTTAGGTTGAAAAGCCTAATAGTTTTTGTATCCCCCATTTCTTTTCCTTCTTGTGTGTTTTTCAGGTCCGTATCAAGGAATTTTACGATGGTGGCGCTGTTTCTCTGCTAACCACCTGGAGAAGTTAATTTGTGTAACACATGAGGCAAAAGCATCCACTCAGGGTAGGGGACATGTGCCTAGCAGCATTTTCTAGGATGAAACAAGAGGGTGGTATTTAAATCTGCAACAAAAAGCCATTTGAAATACCCTGTGTGGTTGGGGGAGCACAGAGGTGGGCAGTTGTCTGTGGAACCACCTCCAGGCCCCTTTAAAGACTGAAGGTCGGGTCCACTTTGCACCCCAACCACTGGGGTATCCCTCTAAGACTGTAAGTTACATAAATGTCTAACCGCTATACTGTATATTTGAAACTAATATAATATTGAATGTCAACTGTAATTGAACTTTAAAGAAAAAAGAGTTTGGGATAAATGTAGATAAATGCTCTAGAGCCCAGCTCTGTTTCTTAAATATTCTGTCAGCAAAAGAACCAGCCATTACTACATTACCTTATGACAGGCAAGGTTAGAATTAATTTGGTTATAGCTCATTTGGGAGTAATTACATTTTAGATTGGTGGCTCCCTGATGAGATTTTGTTATTTTCGGGAAGAGTGCCACAGATGGCTAATCCTATCAAAGTTGTTTTGATTCATGCTAACTCAAGTTTGTAATGACATTTTGACATTTGTCTTCTCCTGTGGGGGTGGGGAGGTTCCTGCTTACTGCATCTTATTGTCCCTACATCCAAATTCTACATGCCTCCTCCATAATACTCAGGGTACACACATGGGGACTTCTTTTTTATACGTGGGGCACTTAGAAAGCAGTGAAGAACTGTGATCAAGGATAGCATAACCATGGTGACAGTTCCTTTATATGGAAGCTGTTTTCCTAATACTTCCTTGTTCCTGGGAAAAAAATAACTTAGTTGTTTAGTTTTTAGTTCTTTGTTGGTTCAATTCATTCTTAACAGGTATAATTAAGAAGAGATATTCTAACAAATCTAAAGTTTATAGGTCTTTTTTAGCTTTAATGAAACCATAAGATGATACTCATCAAAAGCTCCTCTCCCCAAATTAACTATTATACTTTCTTCTGACCAGAACAGCAATTAAAAGTAGTTAGTATCAACATAGCCTTCTATCGTTAAAATAACGGGTTCATTAGAGTAGGTTTCTCAGTTTTTGTTGCCCTTCATTCATTCACTCAAAAAATATATTTACTGAGCATCTAATCTGGTCTGGGCCTCGGGGGTGAGAGAGTGGACAAGACGAGGAAGTCTCTGTCCTCGGGGGGCTTACAATTGGTAACATTTAAATTGTTAAAAACTGACTTCAGTGTGCCATTTCCACACTAGGCTTAGAAGAGAATTCACTTTTACCTGTCCAACATTTTGGTACTGGCTCGTTCCAGCTTCTCTAGTATCTGAGGAAGTTGGGTGTCGTCATCGTAGGAACCTCCCCAGCCAAGCACCCGGGCAAGGTCATTTCCTGTACCCAAGGGCAATACGCCCAGCTGACACTGAAAGACAGCACAACACGGGGACCTCAGACAAGGTGAGAAACGGGCTTCTCTGGTCAGCAGGTTAGCGGACACTTCTGTTAGCTAGCAATGAAAGGAATTAGTACTTGCCTGTTTATTCAAGTTGAGCTTATCAATTTCAGACAACACCCAACCTACACTTCCATCTCCTCCACAAACAAGAATCCGGAAATTGTCAAACTTCTGGAATAATCTTAAACTGAAAGTAAAAAGTATTTTATTTTAATATAAATAAATCAAATTCACTTTCCCCAATCCTTTACTCTTTATTTACTGGTATTCATGTTCAGATTAAATATAAGAACTTTTACATCTTAATTATACTATAAGATTAATTTGTGTTCCATTTTAACTCAAGAAAACCTCTTAATCATAAAAAGGAAAGCGGGTTGTAAGTATAAACAGAGATAAATTAACAGGAAAGGGAAGTGGGAAGATGAGAAAACAGAAAAGCAACAGCAGAAGGACCCAGGAAAGGGAATGGAAGGTAAATGACATGAGATGATAAAAGTAGTGCTTTTCTTCTGTTCCTGTTACAAGGCTATGTTACTTCCTTGAGCAGATCACAGGCCAGGGACTGGGATCTCAGGCACTGATCCTACCGAGTGGCACTGCAGGCAGTTCCTCAACAGACCCACGGAGCCTTGTGGAGGGGCCACTGTTGGTGCCCCCCGCTGCTGCGCCTCCTCCTCTCCGTCTCCTGCCAAGTCTACCTTTTCACTTTACTTTCCTTCATCTCCACTTTTGACACATCTCACCTCCTGAAGGTACCTTTGTAGACCTCAAGTATTATGCGAAATCTAAAAAATACCTATAGAGACAATCTCAAGGAGTTTCACAAAGGGAGTTCCTTGGAATCTTAGCGAATGGGTGGGAAAAATGGATGTCAAGGACACAGGATATTGGAACTCTGAAGGGCTATAAAACAGATGAACTACAAAGAGAGACAAAGCTAACCAGTCGCGTAAGAGACAAAGGTGAGAGGAAAGACCAGATGAGGAAATGCCAGGAGCCACACGAAGACCCACACCCATGCGGACTAGAGGCATCTGAGACTTAGCTAGAAACAGGCGACGGGAACAAGGAGGAAGGCTCTGAAGGGACAAAAGGGAAAAGGGACACAAAGAGAGATTAAGCAGAGACACAGAGAAGACAGGAGAGTGTTCAACTGAAAAATACAAAAGGTCATTTCAGGGACTGGTATCTAAAAACCCCCATTCCTACTTTTGTGTCCACGCTTGAAGGTGAAGGTGGAACCCCAGAGAAAAGCTGAGTTGGCGTAAGTCATATGGAGATTGGAGGGCCCTGGTTCAAATGACAAGTGTCACCTCTTCAACTGAAACAGTACACAAACACTAAAAAGGTATTAAAAGTACCTCAAGGCATCTTTTCCCACACTGACAATGCTATGTATTTCTTTTTCAGAGTTTATGTTATACGAACAGTACAGAAAACTGAAATAAACAATCAACAAAAGGATTTCTGGGCCATTTATATGAGCTGAGTCTGAAATCCTTGAGGAACTGACCTGAGACCCATGATAGTATCTGTGCTTTGGTTAAATAACTGATTGTTTGTATAATATATAAATCAATGTTAGCCTTCCATGCAAATCATTTTCTAAATTTATTTTGAATATTCTATATTCACACAAGTTTATTTTTCTTAGAGCTAAGCACACTGTGAGTGCTTGTTTGGTGTAAGATATAGTCTAAAATATTTTCTCAACAAATTTTGGAATTTTCAGCACATAAGGAAGTTACATAAATATCAGAAAGGTTGTGTTAAAATTTGTAATGAGAACTTTAACAAAGGGAGGAGTGCGAAGACCAGCACAGGACTGTCTAGACCAGTGGTTCT